AGGAAACTTATCATTTTCCACTTGCCTGATAACCCATATCTTAATTTCACTCTTCAAAAGTTTTTCTTTTAAACTTTCATTTTTTTTAAAAAATGTGACCTAAACGGTACAAATGGCTTGCAATTCACTCATATATCTTGCACATTGAAGAACACTCTTGTCTCGTCTGGTCAACCGAGAAACAATGTAAAATGTAAGAAACTGTACATACATTTTATTACATCTTAAAATTTTCGACGTTTTATGTGATCGACATTTTTTCTTCAACCAGAAATGCTTCGGCATTTATTTTTCGACATTTTTTCTTTCGACGTTTTCATATCCATTCTAAGTGTAATACGAAATTTGATCCATGTTGAAAATATAAAGAATGATGTTGATAATACATTAGCAGTAAATTTTTTGCAATTGTATTTGTATATTACCAAATAATGTATCATCATGTAAGCAACAAATACCACATACAAACAGAGCAATAAATGCTGCTTGATCTATTGTCAAGATCGAATAAAAATGTGGTTAGAATCCGCATATATGTCAAACAATTTCGGATATTGCATTTTGAGATCAGGTTGTTGCGATTCAAATATTTGTATTTGTCGTTCTTCTTGTGTTTACTAAGCCCGAGTGAGGAACCAAAAGTAAACAATAATAGAAAAAGAATTATTTTATAAAAATTATAATACAGTCAATCACTGATGGGTTTGAAAATAGTTTTAGACCCATCATAAAATCTAACGCTTTATGCTCACGACGAGCTTGTAGTCTACAACCTACATTACAGTCGGTATTGTTGACAAAAGACTAACTTGAATCAGTCAAACATGTTAAAATATGAAAGATACGCAAAAAGAGAGATATAAAACCAAGTTTACTTGATATTTGAAAATCGTAGATTACAACAACATCATACAAGGGTTGACGACACGAAAATGGAAGCTTTCGCTCACTTGCAGCTAAAGTAAGTTACAGAAACACAGTTGTTTGTTGATTGACAAAAAGTCATGAGTACTCTCATAGCACAAGTTATAAACATAGCTAATATAAAATATCTCAAAGAGAAGTTCTGCTGTGCACTCATATATACACTAAAAATGAATCATAACAATGACAAGTAAATACATAGAGTTAAAATAAGTAGAAGAGTTTAAAGACGTACGCATGGACAACAATAAAACTATTACGGTATTAGTGAAAGTTCACTTCACGTGGTTATTCGCACACCAATTACAAATAAGGCCGATTACTTTTTGAACGAGACTTTGAACAAGATATAGAAGTCGCTAGGTCTCTGACTGGTGCTGAAGGAGAGTAACAAGAATCAAAGAAAGCATTCAACATGTCACATGTTTCTTTGAGAGAAGAAGAGGTATGATTGTGCTTATCTCTCATACATTGAGGTGAGACGGTTTTTCCGATACGAAACTTATTTAAGTTAGACCAAAAACGCGATGAATCAGAGAAGAGAGAAAGTACTCTTTTAAAACGGTGTTTTCTGTCACCGCGTAAACAGTGTGACACCTTGTTTCGTAAGCTCTTAAAAGTGGCATAACTATCGATTGTTTTCCTAACTTTCCAGATTCTGAAGGCACGATTTCGTTTTTGCATATATTTTCTAGTAAGTTTAGATAAAGCAATAGTAAGTTTCATGATTAGTTTGATTTTTTTCAACGGTACAATCCGTTCAATGTAACTGTTAGCATGCAAAGTCCAAATAATCGCTGCAGTTGAAGGATCAGTGGTAGATGAGAAAGTGGCAGGAGGGGAATCTAAAGCTTGATACAAAAGAGTAAGATCATACTTAGAGAAATCACGAACGAACTTAACCTTTTCGTCTACGACCGGAGTAATAGAAATATCAAAGGAGTAGAATAGGCTAGAATGAATCGATTCACCAATAGCAGGTTGGTCAAGAATTTGTGGATGTCTCCAAAAAGAAGGATATAAGAGATAATCAAGCGCAGTCAAGTTAGATGTAGTAAAAATAGATGACTCACAGTGCAAATCGACGACTTGCGCAAAACTGTGCAGACCAGAAAACATAGTAGGATTATCGACAGGATCACTATTTAAGTCACCTGCTACAAGCAAATTATGGTAAATCGTAGGAAGGTTGACTAGAACAAAAGATTCTAGATTAGAAAAATAAGAAATGTCCTGAGATTTCGGTGGTCGGTAGGAATTATAGACCAGATAGATATCATTGCTACAGTAACAGAGACGAACTGAGATTCGGTGAAAGAATCAGAAGCTATGAAAGAATGCGGAAGTAAATCACTAACGTAAATAGCTACTCCACCTCCTCTGCGATCACGGTCATGACGGTACATAGTATAGTCGCCAATTTTACACTCGGTAGATGAAATTTCATTAGAAAGAAATGTTTCGTGCAGGCAGATTATATGAGGTTTACTCGAACAAACTACCTGAGATAGCATGTCTAAATTGGTTGTCAAGTTCTGGATATTCTGGTTAAAAATTAGAAGTTCAGAAGTCGACAACGCAGGTTGCCAAATACAAGCCTTAGAAGAAAGAGACGCAGAAACACACTCAGCTGAGACAATACCTTGAGACTGTGAAATAAAAGGAGAAAATGAGACATGCGATGGTGAAGAAACAGAGTTATTTACCGAAATTAAAGATAAAAACGAAGTGTCAATTGGCGGTAAAGTTTGGTTAAACACAAGTTTTCAAATAATCATCAATACAATTCGATAATGTGTCAGTCCCAAAAGCGTTCAAGTGAATTCCGCTGCTGTTGATCATATCACATGTGAAATTACACTCAATTATATCGAAGCTAACAGCTGTAGATGACTGAATAAGTTTATGATTAAACTCATTAATGTCATCATTTTGTATGGCTTGAAGACTTGATTTCAGTAGAGGATCAAAATTCCGTTCAAATTGCGTTCGGCAATAGTGTAGATACGGTCGCGAAGATGAGTGATTGAATTGTGATGGTGACGAAGCAAAACTCGTAACAGCTTTTGACGTTGATTGAGATTGAGAATTCAGAGAAGGAACAGCAGCAACAGCATGAGTAGGCCATAGTTGACAATACTGCGAGCATAAAGTTTTCACCAACAAGTCGTTTTGATCAAGTATTTTATTCAATAATGTATGCGACAAAACATCCTGATTCACCGCGACATCTGTCAGGTTGAGTGATTCATTTGGCTCATCATCAAACTCATCCAGCGCACAACATAGTTTATCAATTAGTGACAAACATTCGTCGTTTGATAATTCTTGCAGCTCCGTTTTTTTAACACAATTCAAAAACGTTGTTTTAATGCGTTGAGACGCAGCAACCATGACGAGTGATCATAGAGGATGAAAGAGGACACTGGATTGGTCAACCGTTGACTCGAATGTAAACAACAGACAAGAAGACACCTTTATAACTTACTTTTTATGATCAAATTAATCGTAACAAATCCAACAAATTTAACACGAATAATAGCAATAAAGTAGACCAACAAATATACCAAAAATAGGAAAGATTTATGCAGTATAAAGTAGTAAAAGTTAAATTTTATCCTCTAAACTGTATTGTCTTCTTAAACGATACGCCGTAAAATTCTCTACAAAAAATATGTACATTTATTCATATACTGTAAAGAAAAAAGAATATAGAACTAGAAAGAATACTACGAAGCTTTCACCTCGATTACTTCTGAACCCAAAAGACAAAGAAAACAAATTTATTTTGAACATAGTACACAGTACCACACGTTGAAGCGGAATCCGAACATAAGTTCTGGTGTTCCAAAGTCTCGTCTTTCTTTTCGTTTATCAGAGGTTTAGTTTAAACGTGTTTTTCTGGCACAAAAGACGATTGTGCGAAAATTTAATAGAAAAAAGAGAAATTTTTTTGCTCTGTGACACGGGAAACGAAACGAAAGTAACGGACTTTTTCTGTGCAGATGTAACAGAAGATCTATTTTTCTTTAAGATAAAGCAAACCCGACGTCAGAATGTTTGATTTTCACCGAATTTTGAAAGTTTTCCTAACTGTAGTTGGAAAATGTTGATTTCGAGAAAAGCCTATAAAGAAAAAAAATTCTCGCGCAACTGGTTATGGTCACGAAGAGTCTTAAATATAGTCGTTTGATAGAGCTCTTTAAGGGCTACCAAATAGCCATCTTCTTGTCTTTTGTTTCGCAGAATATTAAAGACTAAAATTGAAAAAGTTGTTTTTTACATTGAAAAGTGATCGAGGTGAAAGCTTCGTAGTATTTCTTCTATATTCTTTTATCTTTACAGTATATGAATTAATGTACATATTTTTTGTAGAGAATTTTACGGCGTATCGTTTAAGAAGATAATACAGTTTAGAGGGTAAAATCCAACTGAGATATGAACAAAATACTAAGTGATCGATTTATTTTGAAGCACGCATTAGAAGATCCATATTATATCACAACAAACAAATACTCTTGAAATGATTTTTATTGCATCAAGTTCAATGAAAGACATGGACAAGTGATTTTTTTCGTTGCAACTTTCTAATTCAAGACAGTCGTAGAACCGGTTAATCCTTTTTATGCTAAGGACTAAATAATTTAGAAGAGTCACTAAACAATAAATTTCATATTTGACTGAAATAACACACTTATTCTCAGTTCATAACTGTGACTTAAAAGAAAATATGGTCGCTTCCGGATCTGATAGTTTAGCCAAAATAAGGTTTTCCAGGAACAGATATCATCCGTTTCTTTTTCCAAATTTAGAATAATCAAGAAAAGGTCCGAATAATCTCTGCTTCTATGTGCTTTTCATGTTACACAAAAGAAAGTTTTGCCTTTTTTTCAAATGTCAAAGAGTCAGTTTTCATCATAATTTTATTAGTGAGATGAGCTTGAGCCGCTATTATACCAAACTTTACATAGCGATAGAGAAACCAATATTAAACAAAAAAGGCAAGGATTTTCTGAAAAAAACCCAGTACTTGGCAACAATATTTTTATTTTAAAAATCTATAAAAAGTAAAACGAGCTTCAGGAACATCCGATAACATATCTGCTGCCACCATCTGCGTTAACGCATCTTTCTGTTTCTTTATTTTTCGTAGGTCAACCGGCTGGTTTTGGCGAATGAATCGGGAAATAATTAAATTATCAAAACATATTATTTATTCTGATAGTGTAACTGTATTCGCCATCAATGTTTATATGCTAGAAACTGCTTCTTCAACGACTGAATCTTGGCCGTATTTTCATGAGAACTGGTTATTAGCCAGTTCTTACGACAGATTGGTACAGGATAGCCAATGGCTATCCTGTACCAATCTGTAGGTGATTTTATTACTGCCGGCAATCGTTTCTAATAGATTACTTCCCTTAATTTTATAGATTGAACTGATCCACTCCCTCATTTTAAAACGCCAATATCAGGTGCTTTTCGCCTATTAACACAGTTTACTGTATCTGTGTTTATTGTTCTGAATTGATTCTCTCATCTTATGTTTTTTCTTTCTTTTTTATCTTGTTTGTTCTGTTTAGAGATTCCTCTCAGAGGATGCAATGTAGTCCTTAGGACGACAATTTCAGTTGTCTGGTCTTCTTTTCTTGTTGAGTTTGATTCCTTTAAATAAACAGCTTAAAACAATCTCTGGGTTTTCTATGCACGTAAATAAAATTTGACATATATGAATAACACAAATAACAGGACAGAAAGTTTTTTTATGACGGTTAAACATAAATTTCAACAGAAATCCAAAATTCTGCATATTGCCGAAGCATTAACAATATTATGTCCCCGTTATGATCTAAATCAATTGTACAAAATAATAATATTGTTTGGCAAGAATTAACGTCGTTTTGTATTGTCAATCCAAAGTACCCTGTGTGGAAGAATACTGAGCAATGTGGAAGAATACTGAGCTGTAAGCAATCTATTAAAAATGCTAATTTTATAAAATTGCTATCCTAAGATTCCATTAGTTTTAACAGCAAAAAAAACAATACTGCAATGATCATGACGGTGTTTGGTCTCTGGCCATGTGCCATTAAGGGGGGATGTCCTCCCTCTAAACATGCCCTCAAACTTGGCCAGTTTGTAGAGAACACCTTAGGTGGTATGCCTATGCAATAAAAAACCTTGCTAGAACAGTCCTTAATGGGACTAAAAGAGTGAAACACCTTTAACGTCTGCAAACAGATTGACGAATTTGTAGAAATAAGCACCTAAAAGATATACAGAGTGCACCTGAAATTGCAAATCCTGTAAAATGTTTTATAAATGAAAACAGAACTTTACTGTCAATCAATTTTCGTTTTATAAATAGTTTATTTAGTCAGCTTTGATAGATTTTGTCTTTTTAGTTTGATTTTTAGTTTGAGTGGCATCTTTTAAAACCTTTCTAGTTTTCGATATAAATGTTACATTCAATTGATTTTAAAGTAGTTTTATAGAGAATTGTTTGTAGATATAATTCCATACAAAAAAAGTTTAAAAACGATATCTGTGACCGTTTTTTAATTACTAATTAGTTCTGGTTAGCACTAATTAGTAGTACTGCAGCGGATAAAGTAAGTTTTCCTAATGTCAGAACGAATCGAAGCAAATCATGCGATATATCGTTCGATAGAACTTCTCGAACTCTGTCGACTGTCCGAGCCACTTTTTTTAACTTTTTGCCTTTCTCTGTCTAAAAAATGCTTTTTAAATCATTTTTGGTGTCAAAAAACTGACCAATTCTCAATTTTCTCAACCAGAACTCAAGTTCTATGTAATAAGAATATCATATTCGGAATCAGGACCGAAAATCGAGTCGACTGATGCATATTTCGAAATGTTTAGTTCATTTTTATTTTTTGGTGGAAATCATGATTTTTCAACTTGAGGATTCGAAAAACATAGTGCTCCCATAGGATAGAGATACACATCAATTCGATCCTTCAGTTTCGATCCTGATTCGAATATGATATTTTTATTACATAGAACTTGAGTTCTGGTTGAGAAAATTGAGAATTGGTCAGTTTTTTTGACACCAAAAATGATTTAAAACGCATTTTTCAGACAATAAGGCAAAAATTCAAAAGTGGCTCGAACAGTCGATAGCGTTCAAAAAGTTCTATCGAACGATATATCGCATGATTTGCTTCGATTCGTTCTGACATTAGGAAAACTTACTTTGTCCACTGGAGTGCCACTAATTCTTATCACAATTCTGTGCAAACGAAATAAGTTCGAAGTTAAAACTGGCTGAAGTACAACTATTTCGAAATCCCTTCCATTCATTCCCTTCCCAATTCAAAAAATAGTCATAGTCATTTATCTTTCCACAGACAACAGGTTTTTTAGATACTAACCCAAGCGGTACGTTTTTTCTGTGTTATTTTCCCAGCCAAATATTGATACAGATATTACGAGTTATACTTAAAGTAAAATTATTTTTATTTAACTTTGTTATTTCATTCATCAGCCATCTCTAAATATCGTCTGTACGTCTAAATTGTTTACATTGTATCCTAATAAATGCTAATTTATTGAACTGATTTAATATAAATGGAATATCATCTAAAGATTGTATACGAATTGATAGTTGTTGTAAATTAGATGAAAATAATTGGCATAAATTTTCAATTTGTTTTCCAATTAAGGCTGTTTGATGATCTTGATCAATTATATTTAATTTTGTTATTTTTTCTTTTATCTGTTGACATATTCGTTTATTTTCAAAATCAGTTGTGACTAGACATAAATTACGATATTTGATTTTTAATGAATTTAGATTAGGCACATTATCTAATATTTTTGAGAAAAGAACTGGATTAATTTCGCATTCAATACTTAAATTTGTTAATTTCGATATACGAATAAATTGATTCAGTTGATCAAATGTTACATCTTCATCCATCATCCATAGTTTTAACGACCGTGCATTTGAATAATAACAATGATCAAATAATAAGACTGACGATATTGGTATTGATTGTTTTGAGAAATTGACTGTTATTTTCTCTACATTACTGGAATAGCATGATAGCAATGATATTGATGTTGTTAAGAATGTCGATTGTCTTAATGTATATGTCTTTTCTATATATGGGATAGTAAAAAGAGTAGAAGAATAATCGTTATTTTCGAGTGCCACAAACCATTGATGTTGTTCTAACCAAAAATCAGTCGTAAATGGCTCTGAAAGTTCATCATCAGTTATACAAACTGTGTCCCTAATATCAAATATAAAACCAAAATTCGTCAACCGTTTTAAATATGTTTCAATTAAGTGTTCCCATCTATGACCATCAACTATTTCATATTTAATATTATTGGAAGAAATCTTTAAACGACGTCTAGTTACCAAGCAAGAGCAGAGAAAAGAAATTTCGAAATTGTTCAAAAACTCAACAACTGAATTTGACTATGAAGAAAGTGATTCTTTTCGTAAACTAAAACGGCAGTCGTCCTTAGGATAGCCGACTATCAAACTTTTTGTATAGTTTTTAAAATAAAAGTTTTAAATTTTCTGAAGGAAAATCTTAGGTACTAAAACTATAAAATTTCTGATCTTTAAATCTAACGAGAACCTCTTTAGGTTATAAATCGCTTTTGAAACCGTACTACTTGTATCTTGTAGACCGCATGAATAGTGAAATACTCTAAGCTGGTTCATCCCCGTGGTGCTTTGTTGCTAAGATATTGAAGCTTTACTCAGTTTTTGCATACAGAGCTTGGATTTCCAACAAAATCCGACTCTTGAATTTTGACTTCAAACTTGCCGCACTCCTAGCTTATGGTCATAGTAGTACGACGGAAAAATATGTGGTTCTAATGAATTTTCCTGCCTTGAGATATTGAGACTCGAACATTTCACCTGAAGAGAAGATGAGGGTCAAATATTCGAGTCTCAATATCTCAAGGCAGGAAAATTCATTAGAACCACATACTTTTCCGTCGTACTACTATGACTATGGGCTACCAGTGTGGCAAGTTTAAAGTCAAAATTTAAAAGTCGGATTTTGTTCGAAATCCAAGCTCTATATGCAAAAACTGAGTAAACCTTCAATATCTCAGCAACAAAGCACCACGGGGATGAACCAACTTAGGTTGAATGAACCAACTTTATTTCACTACTCACTGAAGTCTACAAGATAGAAGTAGTACGGGTTCAAAAGCGATTTATAACCTAAAGAGGTTCCCTCGTAAGACGATAGAAATGTTTGGAATAACCTTACATGTACAGGATATGATAAAAGTATAAAAATTGAGTACAAATTTTGTTAATGTTTTTAATTTATTTTAAAGACAATCAGGCTGGCTTACACTACGTTTAAAATATGATCCCTCAAATAAAAGTTACAGTGCTTTTTATTTATGTGTTTCTTGCTATACATTCTTGAAGTTTCAACTGTCTTCCCTTTCTTAGAAGATCTATTTACAGACAGGGGCGTAGCTAGCATCTCAGAGCAGGGAAAGTAGTCCTGCCCAAAAATCTTTTGTTCATCACAAAAAAGTTTGTTCTGAAGGGCGAAGCCATACTGTGTGAGACACCCAAGTTACTGCACTGTTTTTCGGTTATTTATTGATCCTTTGCTGGTGTCCTTCATCGTGAGACCACATCAACGAATTCCGTTTATTCATGTTAATGCTGTCCATAGCCTAATCTGTCCATCTTTAAGAAGTATTAAATCCATGAACAAAAAGTTCTTTAATCACGAGCGGATTACTAGATGAAAATTCGGCTTCTTCATGCTATGAGACGTATCGAAAATCTTATGCAACGATAGCCAAACAAACTTTTCTAAAATCAGAGATGTGTGACTAACCCTCAGTAGCCACGCACCTGCTTACAGGTTTTCATTATATACACGCAAGAACAATTAGTCAAAGTATCATATTTTTCGTGACATACTTAACTTTTAAATGAGTATAGAATATAGTATACTCATGGAGAAACAAAGAATGTATATAGCAGTTTATACGAAATAAGATAGAAGATGAAAGGATCGACGTTATAAGTTTACTTCAACTAGAAATAAACCGTTTGTTGCTGTTATGAGTTTTTGCACTTAGAAAGAGATGCTGAGCAAAAACTGTCAACTATCTCATAAGCTTTCTGTTTTTCTTTCGCTGCATTAACCCTTTTTTTATCAGAAAATGGAAGAAATGTTTTGTGCCTTTTTGATTTTTAACTGTTAGCATCTCTGATAACACTCTCGTCTTCCCTAACAGAAGGCCATCAGTCTCCTATTTTGTCTGTCGAGGCAAACCCTAAATAGTGCTCGTCTATTGCGAGAACATTGCTGTTTACTGTTTTCGCTTTCACACATACGCATATGCATTGTAGCTTTATCTGCATACAGGATTTTTATCTTAGGAACTTGTTCAGAGGAGCAATATCAAGCAGTATAAATCATCTAATTCTAAATCCAAAACGTTTTCCATGAGACGACAAATTCCTTGCTCAAATCCCTTACTCATTGCTACTTAACGGTAACTTAGATTAATCTCGTTTGGCAGTTTTCTACTCGTCTCCTATGCGAAATCCATTGATGACATAGATATTGGCATAAAGTATGTATTCAGAAAGTACTGGTTGTGTCATACGATTTCATTTTCTTTTAAGAACGTTTATAATTTCATCATAAATAGATTGTTTTTATGATGCATCTAGTACGACATTTCGACTTTCCTTTTTTTGTGTACCTCATAACCTTTATCATTGAAACTGTACGCAAAAGTACTTCTTTAACCGAAACTATTCGAAATGTTTGTGTAATGAGAACAACTCAATATTTCAGAACTTGTGGTAAAAAAAATTAATACAAATATACATTGCATAAAAGAGTAAAATGTTCTTCCAATCTAATCTTGATCCATAAAAGTGGCATAAAAGTTGATCAAAGCTAAGAAAACAGCTTTTATCGAACGTCGTAAATGAGTTGTTCCTTTCCAATCAACTGTAATCTTTTTAAATTAGAAATAGACATTAATAATGATTCAAAATAATCAAAAGTAAGGTTTGTGTTTGATAATTTTAATTTTAATGATGTTAAATTTGGTAAAACAAATTTCAGATTATTAGTGGACGAATAAGTTACAAGACAATCTAAATATTTTAAATTTGGTACAGAAGGCAATAACTTAATAAACTCATCGTAATAAATATTTCCAATAGATAAATATTCAATATTTGTTTTATTTTTTTCTTCATGATTAAAGTGAACATCATAGTTAAGATTACTAATTATAAAATATTTTAGTGTTGGTATAGCGTTATTTAAAAATATCGTTCTGCAAACATTTTCAATGATCTGTCTCGAACATTGATGTTCTAATATTGATAGATAAGTTAAGGTTTTTAAATGATATAAACTTGGTAAAATAGTTTCCATTAGATAACTATTTACATAAAATAACTCTAATCTGTTCAAATTAATGAAATCTTGAAGTTGAAATAAGTTAAGAAATAAATTAATTAAACCACATGTATAATTATCATCATCGGATAATATTAATGTATGTATGTGATGAATGTTCCAAATTTGACAAATAAAATCAAATTTTGACTTTTTTATTAAACGAAAATCAAAATGTAAATGACGATATGATGCTTGTAACAAATTGTCTAAACGATGATTTAAATTACTAAATGTAAACAATACATCGCTACTATCGAGATAGTCAAATGTCACCAATAATAATTCATTTGGTAAAATCTCAAATTTTGTTATACCTACAAATATATAGTCTATTTTCAATGTAATTAATATTTAAATTAAGAAAAAAATTTTGTGTGCAATCTTAGAATCTAGTCAAATCTCAATTTAATCGAGGCAAACACTGTCCGATATTTCAGGGCACTTCTTCCTTTTGTTTGACCCTATTAAAAAGCGTGTATACCAATGTCAGATCGGACTGGCATGTTTGTTAGAGATATTTGGATCGTAAATTATTTTTCGAAAAATATGCATTGCTTCTCGTAGTATTCAAAAATGTTGAAAATCGTTGATGAAAAAGTTGTCTTTTGATTTTAGAGACCTTCCCACATTGAAAGTTACAAATTAAAAAACGTTAAAACTTGGGATAGAGGCTAAAGTACATGTGGTAAAAGCTAAAGTGATGTGGTAAAAATTTCAACTTGGATCAACCTTCTTTTCTCAAGGGATCGTAATGAGCCTGAACTGAAAGAACTATTAAACTTTCACGCGACGTCTCATTGTAAAGAGAACACTTTATTCTGTCACTCTAACGAGGGGACCTCGTGAACTGTCACGTCGCTTTTTCAGCCACATCTATTGGGTTATAGGTTATCAACTATGTTGAATCCGAATATCATGATGGTGGCTGTCCAGCGGCCTTGACAGAGTGGTTTTCTGAAAAAGCAGTTCATCAGAAACTTTGAAAAGTAATCAAAAGTTTCCTTGATGAGGCATAATCGTACCTGGCAAATTTCTGATTAAAATGAGACATCCCTCAGCTCTACACGACTTTTCTTTGCAAAGTTATAGCATTTTGAAGAAAGCCCTAAATGTTCATTGTCAGCCCACAGCTACAGAAATAGGAGAAATTAATTTAGAGCTTTTCTTGCAACTTCTATAACTGCGTAAATAAAGGCTTGTAAGCAACAACTTCTCAAATTTATAACTTTTTCAAAAGTCATGGAATGCTGGAGGGGTTAGGATCTGATTTTGCGGCGAAAACTTCTCTATACATTAGTATGTGTTTAGTTCAATATAGGAATTTTTTCAAGGAAGAAGGCGGGATATCTATGAGACTGCTTCGGTACGCCACGAGGACTCTACTTACAATTATAGATTATATCGAGAATTTCATGGGATCTACAATTAAGAATGCGCTAAAAAGCTCGAAATAAAATGTCTCGAAGGAAGCATTCTTGAACAAAAAGGTCGAAAATAGGGCATGTACAGAGCTATGTTTTAATGAGCGAAAGTTTGAACTGCAGCAGTCAAAAGAATATTAAGCTCAGTTGATTTTGTAGAGAAGAAAATTCCCCATTGTTTGAACCGTGATCTAAGCCTTCGGAACTAGTTCAACGTCTGAGCTAGTTAGACTAAGGCATATCTAACACTGACTAAAACTCCAGTCTGTCCTAATAATACTAAAGATAAAATACTTTCAGCATTTGGACTGATTGTTGATGGTGAGTTCATACCACTGTCAGGATCATAATTTTCATTGTCATCTGTTGACGACTCGTGCTCGAATCCATTTTCTTCGTTACTATCAATTGCTAAATAATGATTAGCTTCTGTGCTTGTTAATTTTCGTGCACAATATATTCTATCATTCATATCTAAAATCATGTGAACAGTTAGTTTAACACGTTGGCTGTCAATGCATCATCAGCGAAACATATGGCTTCGTTTGTTTTTTGACTCTGGCAGCCAACGTGTTAAAAATCGAAAATTTCGGTACGAACAAAAAACACAGGTTTAGATGATGGTGAATTTACATAATTCAGGCATTTTACAGGAAAGTGAGGCAGATTCACACGCCGCTGATAAAATCTTCGAGAGCTTTGCAGTACTTGGACAGCAAAGCCACAACTTGTCCAAACTTTCATATTTCTTGATAAATGTGCTGAAAAACAGCATAAAAATTAACGTATTTTATTTACCAGAAAAAGTGAAAATTTTCAACAAGAATGGACTTGCACATGTTCGATTCGGCTGAGATAAATATTTTCTGATTGCACACTGAACATGTTATCGTCTCTGTTCTGTAGAAGCAGATCCTAGTGGAACTTTTTGCACCCAAGATCTTGGGTTTAAGCAATGTCACAAGACCTTGGAAAAAACACCAAGAAGTCAAGATCCTGAATTCTTGAATCTTCCACTCAACAGCTTCGGAATAGAAATTTCAAGATCTAGAGCGAATCCACTCAAGATGTTGCAAATTCTTCAGTGAGAAATTTTCTTTAGATTTTGTTTTCATTTATGACAGTCATAGTCATCAGACATACGGCCATATAGAATCATATGTTCTTCGTTAAACAACCAAGTTCAAGAAGGGAAAGAATTCGAAGTTACTCTAAGTGAGAAAATATTCGCACTTATATTTACACAAAAGCGTAACACGACACAGGGAGTCAATAATTTTCAAGATCTTGGCACAAAAAGTCCAAAAATTACAAGATGTTCAAGATTTTGACTTCTTGAAATTTCTTAAATTCTTATATTCTCTTGGCAAGAACTTGAGTCAAGATCTTAGTTAAAAGAAGTTAGACTAGGGGGGTGGGGGTAGAGCCCTGTGGGATCATCCCAATCCCGATCCCGCGGGATTGGGATAGGAGGACATATATTTACGGGATCGGGGTCAAGGTTACGAACGGATTCGGGATCGGGCGTTTCTTTTTCGAATTTATTGGAAGAGATACATGGGAGAAACACATGCTGTATAGATGGTTCTATTATATTTTTTCTATCATACTTTTTTCTACTAGTGTAACGTAAAAAAGAGAAAACATGGATTTCCATACACTCTTCTATTGGTTAGAGAGGCCATATTGAGCTTTTTACATATCTTACTTTTGGTGGCCAGCTAGCTCTCAACGAATGCTGAAGTTATCTGCTATTGGTAGCTGTTATTAGCAGATAACTTCTTTCACCGATAAAGTAAACAATTAAACACACTCAAGAAACTGTCGTCCTCACACAACAGTCAATCAGATTGTTTCTTTCAGCCTGTCGCACACGAGCGACAACTGTTTGTATTTTAGCGAAAAACATTTCGGGATTTAATGGGATTGTAATTATGCCTACGGGACGGAATCGGGATAGGGACTGGCAAAAAGAATTTTTCGGGACCGGGTTCCAATCCTACGGGACGGGATCGGGACGAAAAAACTCAATCCCACAGGACTCTAGTGGGGGGGTGGACAAGCGGATGTCGCTGGAAATCAGCTTAAAACAAGAAACAAAATTATACTCATGATTAAACGATAAAAGTTTCTAGCTGTAAATTCTCTTTTGTTTATATGCGATATATTCCTTTTCAACAAATTCTTTTAACCAAAAGTAAGTAGTAGTATAGAAACTTACTGTTAACTTTTTATTAAATCAGCTCCCTTAGCTCCCTTGTTTGCTCATGTTGAGGAAAAAACTTATCTGAATAAGAAAAAAAACTAGATGTTTTCTCGTTTTTAGTAAATAAGATTTATTATGAAAGAAAAATGCATTCTTTTTCTCTTATATGACAATGCTTCAGTATGCAGTAATACAAAGTGAGTCACATAAAAAAGAGCGAAAAAGACTCATGAGTAACAACAAAACCAAACCGAACAAAAATCGTGTGCTTCATTATATTACATCTGTGTGCATAGGTATGTGAACGAAAAGCACAGCTAGAAGTCGTGAGTCATCACCTCAGGTATCTATGCTAAAATTTTTGCTCTCATCGCATAAAGTGTCCATGGAATCGTAATAAATTATAATATCGGTCGATTCAACGTTTAAACCATGGACGGTGTACAACCAACGTCATTCTTCTAAAGCTTTCATCAAAATGATCATAACTCTGCCGTAGAATGCTGTGGGATGCTACTAAATACCTCACTCCATACAGAACGTTTTGCAATAGCAGACCAGCTATTTAGAAAAAGTTTTAACGGCTAGAAAGGGAGAAAATTGTCGAAAGTTAAAACAACACTTGTATAACATCGCGTGGCAAACGTTGATTACTCGTATCATCTAAGTGAATGGTTATTGAGATCTGGAAGAGATGATACTTCACTCTACATACATGATGTATGTTGGGCTAAAAAATCGAAAGAAAAGGAGGGCTAATTAGTAGTTAATTTTACAATCGCTGTGTAATTACTAGAGACTCAGACAGAATTAATATCTGAAAGAATCAAAAGAAGATACCACGACCGGTTTCGACCTTTCTCAAGGGTCTCGTCAGTGATTTCCTTCAAGAAAGACAGAGTTAAGGCACGACAAGCAACACAACTCCATCACATCGTATGAGGGTATTACTATTCCTTGTTCTTATCGAACAAAGAACGATAACTTTCACACGACGAGAACGAAGCACGATATCCTATCAGAAATAATTCATCCTTTTAAACTTAAACTGTATTTAGTAACTTTTACTTAGAATAAAGTGATTCAAGTCGAGTTTCACAATTATATATGAAAACGAGAGCTATTATTTCATTTCAGGTAATGACAACAGATTGATGTCAGGTTTCATATTCTTTTTCGGAAAAAAAAACATTTGATAATACATATTTGTATTTCAATTAAGTATTTATTCATTACGCTTCACTTACGAATTTCTTTGAAACTTCGTTAAGTGTATATAACTACAGCAAATGAATCATTTTACTTATCGTCGTTGAAGATGAGTTACTCATTGTAGTCGATATTCTTCCTCATCTCCGATCAATCGCGATAATCTTCAAATGGTAGTTAATCGAGATAAAAATACGTGATAGTTACAGCTATAACTATCACTTATTTTCGGCTTGTGATTAATCGATTGAGATGATTGCTCACGTTAGATGTCTGATCTACAACCTATACGCTGTCGGATCAGACATTTAATGTCGTACCGAAGAAATAATAATGTTAACTCTCTTCCTGAATTAGCTACTCACCACATTATCGTTTAGATTCAATCTTAATAGTTGTTTTCACACTTTGAGCAGCACGAGTTTTCGTATATTTTACATACGTGAGTATCCAAAAAACATTCTGACATATAGGGTATAAGCCCATATTTTAGAAGAATGGATAAAGAAACCAGTTGAAATGAAGTCATGACTTCATTTCAACTGGTTTCTTTATCCATTCTTCTAAAATATGGGCTTATACCCTGTATGTCATAGTCATAATTATTCAGATTGACTATTCTGTTCAAAGGAAATTTTTTAGTCTGATATTCCATCAAGGCTATATGCGTAACCTTGGAAACTGCACTTTCTTTTGAGCAGATCAAGTGCATCACTTACAAACGTTCGTTACTACACAAATCTTTACTTTGACATTTGACTATGTTTCAATTCTGTTCTGAGAATTAACAACAACACGCCTTCTAGCAGTTTTTTCTTACACACAGGCAAAAACGTGAGTTTTTTAACAGTATTTTTTATCTCACTTGATTCATACGACAAAGTGTACTGTTTCAGTGTAAGAAATGAATAAATATCTTCTCTTAAATACACAGAGCAAAAAATCCTACATGCACAGAAAAGAACAAAGTAATTTCACAACCTGAGTTATCTGGGTGCTTATTGTGTACAAAAACTGCATTCTCTGTAGAAGTTGACTTTAGTAGGTCGGCTACATCGCTTTGTGAACTAACAGAAGAATGTTTGACTTCAGATCAAAATGTTGTGGGTTCGACTCGCGTTATTAATGTATTAAAGTAGAGTGATTAAGGAGAAAACTAATGAATATTATAAACATGAACGACGTTGACCTACCGGTTTACTGCTACAGAGTATTTCGAATCTTAGATCACCGAGTTACATTATCTTAAGACTATTTTACATATCATTTTGTAGCCCGTGAAATTCTTTCTCGAACAGTGTATAATAGTTGATATTTGATCCAGATGAAAGTGGTGAAACAATGTAAATAGTTTGAGTAAAGGTTGTTTAACGCGAGAAGAATTTTTTTTGCTAAAATGTTCCCAAGCAAAAATGCTCTTCGGAAAGAATCTAGCTCCATCGACTACATAACCGCGCGATTATTCACTTGATGAATCTAGATAAATGTACCTTTCCACCTAGTTAGCTAGCTTCAGTCCAGTCGTGAACCGAGCAGTAGGTTATCATAATCGAGTAGGAGCGGGAGGTTGACATCTAGGCTAACTGCCTAGTTAACCGACCGGTTAAGCTAATTCCGAAGATGAAAAATATTTGATAAGAGGGAGATTATCAACTAGGTTAACCTATAGGTTAACAGGGCGATGGAGCGCCAGAGTAAAATTTAGGAAATTCAATTTGCCATATCGTTGTCTCAAAGCTTAACTTTGGAAAACGTTTTTTCATTGGTGAAAGAGCAGAAATACCATCTTTTTGCCTAATTTCCTAGTTTTCGCCATGAAGCCAAAGTTTTTCAAAGTTGAGTTTAGAGACAATAATATGGTAAGTTTAATTTTCCAAATTTCACCTCCGGCACTCAACTTTGTACAAATCGATGTTCAGGGTGAAAAATGATATTTACTGTTTCTTACACTAAAGAACGATTGCTGAAAATCTGGTACCAGCACATAGAATTTAGAAAATTAAATTTTCTACATTTTATGTTGCAAATTTAACGCTGAAAAACTCTTCAAGGAGAAAATACGAGAAAGCAGAAAAGTATGACCCTCTGGCAGGTTCGAATCTACAAAAGGGTTGTACTTTTCTGCTTTCTTTCTATTTGTAGTATAATTGATTTATAAGTTTGTTCAAGTGTCTTTGCAGTTTTAGAGTTACGGTTTTAACACTTTGCTAAATGCTCGATTCCTAAAACTAAATGAATTTTATTTTCAGAAACAGCCGTTTTGTGTCATAATCAAGATCAGACTTCTTCAGTGTAGAGAGTTTCCTGGCGCGTAATATTGAAAACAGTGGGATTTCTTTTCTGTAGAGAATGAATAGTACAAAAACGCTTTTTAGACTTGATTATATATAATCTACACCAACAGCTTTGATCCAAGTTTTTCCTTCTTATCCGGTAAGCTTATTCTTTATGCTTTTGACAGTTTCATAGGAAGCAGTCCAATACTAAATTATTCATGTTTTATACGAAAATTCTTCCGGCGGTTCATTCACACAAGCGTAGGTTCATCGTAACGAAGCATTTTTACAAATTTCCTAATTATTAGTCTATTGCAAAACTCAGCCGAAATGTCCCAAAATAGTTTGTTGGAATAAATGATAATCTTCTTCATGTCCTTCCCAATCACGAACTAACTGGAACCAACTTGATCGGTTGGTTAACTGTAGAGAGGAGATGAATGACTAACGTTATAGTGTAGAGAACCGTCCGATCCTAGGTTAAACTTTTTAAGGTGGAGCTAACTGCTGAAATAACTGGAAATAACAACATTTCCAATAATGACATTTGTTGTTTGAGAATATCAGAATTTTTTTGGACAAGATTACTAATTTGCAGCGTTGTTCTATTAAAATTCATATTCTGGTTACCTTCAAAATGGACAGACTGAGCTATTAATAATTGTGACATTAGTGCGAGTGTATCTACATCATCCGAAAATAAAAATTGATCCCAATTGTGCAGTTTTTTTCACAACTTTCACTCTTTCTCTTTTGGATTCATAATTAATATTTAATTTCCCGCTATGCAAATCACGAATCGATGATCAAATGTCAACAAGAACAAGTCGTACTTTGAAGCAGTTTAGATATTCTCAGAAACAGATTCAAAAATTAGTCACCGGTTCACCTGTTCAATTCTATGAGAACCTGGCTCATGAAGCATAATAAAACTCTATAACAAACAATGTTAAGAAGAAGGAAAATATCGCATATTATATTATTGATTCTGATTGTACTTTTTATTATAGCAGTCATATTCATCGATCCTTTGCATGAAAGATATGTGAAACGTTGATATTAATACGTAAATTTAAGAACTGAACATTAGAAATACGTTGCATCCAGTTTTCATGTGTAGTGTTAGGCTTAATTTTCTTGATTCTACGTATTTAAAAATGCTGCATTTCGAAAAGGAAAATTAAAATATGCTTCGTAGTAATTCACATCATTACAAGGCACTACTGCCGGTTTCAAAAAAGAATGCGAGTGGATGTTTTTTGAGTAACATCTGATAGCAAAGAGACAGAGATCTGCGGTTTTTGCTATTCGAAAGTAGAGACTTAGAAGAAAAAAAGTCAAGATTATAACAAAATGTTGTGACATTTTTTATTCCACAGGTCAAAATAAATAGTTGTGTGAGCAATTGTTTCTGTTAAAGGAAAATATGAAAGATGGTATAGATGATATTTTCATGTAAACATTTGAGTTTATCACTGTTTCTGCTGGATTTGAACTTTCGGGCATTTATGTAAAAGAAACTAAATTTAGAATAAATTTTGTTCTATCTGTTGTTCAATGGTCGAACGTATTGTCTATATGAAAGATAAAAACTTTCATATAAAAAATTCTGGCGATACTCGAAACTCAAAATGGAATTATAAGAAGTCTGCTGTCGGATGCGCCTTGAAAGTCTGCATATACCACCTTAGTTTCATCAAGTTCGGTCCGGCGTGGAGCTTGCACCTAATTTTCTAATGATGAAGTACACTAAATGTAGGGGCTTTCTCAGTATATAGACTCAGTTAATGTTTGCTGTGTAAAGATCTCAAAATAAACTGCATAGAAGTGAGAAATGCATGAAAGGTTGAATGTTATAACAATTGTGAGTATCCTCAGTGTAATATCTCTTTGCTGTTCGTGGCTCTCAGGATGTGGTGATGATCAGTTACGTTCTGTTTGACGTACGGAGGATTGGGGCTCTGCCATTGTGCCTCATTCGCAGAATGTTAGATTGGCTCTAATAACCGAGCTGATCCTAGCGATAATATCTACGGATATACATTCTCTGAAAGTCCAAGCGTGAGTGTTTTCTTCGCATATGGCAGACGTTACCTTACGGTAAAACCCACAGACGAACTATAAAACATTTAACCGCTCTCACTTTTATTCCGAGATCAAATACCAGTTATATTGCAAACCATAACTGAGAAATACATGAGAAAAAGCTATTAATATGGTCCTTATGACAAGTAGAAAGGATTGAGACAAAGAGAGGACGTGTTAATAAAACTACTATGTAAAAGTTTTGATCTTAACTTCAAAGTGAGCCTGGAGTGAATGATTGATCCTGATTTCATTATGTTGCTGAAGAGAAAAGCGGATAAAATATGATGAAATCAGCGTCTCAGCTATCTTAAGAAACATTTTAAGAGACCCTTTTATATCAGTTGTTGGTTTTCATTCTTTTCTGTGGCATATACGGACTTGGTTAATCTACGAAAGGGATATGTCTCAAAAGAAAAGTTGTCCAGAAATCTAATAGTGTACCATTGTGACTGGCGAAAATGAGATCTATTTAGACAACGGAACCGAGAGCTGGATTTGTTGTGTACGTCTTCTGACTGCTACCTGACTTTCTATCCATACTGACTTTACCTTTTCAGATAGAGATTATAACATGACAAAAGCATTGTCTGCTCAACGAACGGAATGAAATTTGATTGTACTATGTTCTCGAAGAAAAGTCCGAGTAAAACATAGTGGAATCAATCGTAGATAACAAATTGGTGACTGGAAAAATGTGAAACTACTGCGTAGTGGTGCAGCATAGCATATCGTACGCACTGGTAGTGCCGGCCTTTTATCAGCACTGTACGGGGATTTTTTTGTAGGAGAGTCGATCATGTTTTTCATAAGAATCTGATAAGAATAACGTACGCATTTTGCTGACTCTTACCAATTTCTTATGAATTCTTATGAGATTCAGCAGAGTTCTTGTCACTTTCGGAGAAGATCTTGTATAAGAATTAGGTAAGATTCGTCCATGTTTCTTACAAGTTTCGTATCTGATTCTTATACAAGAATCGATGTCTAGGACAACTGTATAGAAAGGGGTGGCAAGAACTAAATTCGAGTCTTACTGGAGGTCCCAAAGGAAATGTTTGGTTGATGTAAAACCTAAAGAGAAAACCGACTATGTGACACTCCAAAAAAGGAGTTTCTGTCAAACTATTTGATAAGCACCTGCACTTGTTTCTAATAGTACCACTTCAAATTTGATTAATTTGATTTAATGACATAGCCTTAGAATATAATCTCACACACAAAATTTTTCTTTCTATAGGCTGATGTATCTACCGCTATGAGGTACGTCCTCATACTTACTGCAGCAGCTGCAAACAATTACATTTTGTTTATTTTGAATAATTGCTTCGACACTAAGAATGTTGATTTAAAAACATCTGCTTCTTTCCTTCAGAAAAATGAATATGAAATTAAAATCTAATAATTAGAAAATTATTTTTAATCTTTCCTCCTAGAATTAAATATTCATTTACAACCTCTGCCTGTTAAATTTTTTGTTTTTGTATAATAAAAATCACACCATATGATTTTCATTATTCTAGTAGTTACTTTGGTATATATTCAAAGGTTTCCTGTGACTGCCTCACCATTCATCATTACACAAAAAATGTTTCCGATTAAAATAATCATTTTATCTATTCTCATTTTGAATATTTCTTCAATTTCCCACGTTCATTCAATACTCAGAAATGTTTCACTTCAACAACGATGGATGGAATCATCTCAACCATCACCACCAAATGAATTGATCACAGTTTATCTAGTATTTAAACAAGATCAAAATTCAGTAAAGGAATTAGAATCATTATTTTGGAAAATTACCGATCCTGACAGTGATAAATATCAACAGTGGCTTACACGTAAAGAAATTAATAAAATTTTAAAACCACATTCAAAGTGTTATTCATTAATTAAAAAGTGGTGTGAGAAACAACCGTTTAAAAAAGTAAATAAGATTGGTACAGATGTATTTCAAATTACGACAACGGTCAAACACGCATCAAAACTATTTTCAGCAAAATTCTATCCGTACACCCATGTACAAAATACAAAACGTAAAATTCATCGAATTTCTGGACAATATCAAATTCCAGATGAATCTATTCATGTGTCGATTTAACTGTTGGCTTGGATACGTTTCCAATTGAGAAAAATATAGTCGACAGACAACAAAAATTTACAGATGACAATATTGATAGTCTTCAACAACAGCTAGAATCACTTGACGTTATCACACCAGAATTTGTAATTGATTACTATAAAATACCAAATGTGAAAAAAATTGGTCTACCACGAAATGATGTGTCACAAAGCTCCATTCAGTTTCTAGGAGAATATTATGATGAAAAAGATTTACAGAAATATTCAAAGGCAGTAAATATTAGATACAGACCGCTGGCCTCAAAGCATATTCTTGGTGGAATAAATAATCAAAGTAATCCAGGTAGTGAAGCAGTGCTTGATGTTGAACAAATGAGTGGTATTAATCCATTGGCTGAGAACTGGTTTATTAATTATGAATCTGGAGTTAATCCGGATGGCGATGGTGAAAATTTCTATACAACAATATTAACATTAAATCAACTGGACCATTTACCACAAGTGCTATCAATATCTTATGGTGATCCGGAAATCGGTCTATGTAAGGGTTTCACGGGCGATTGTAATACAACATTTAATTCCAATGAGATTTATATTCGACGTACAAACATCGAATTTATGAAATTATCCATGAGAGGAATCAGTATTTTGGTATCTTCCGGTGACAGTGGTGCAAATGGATTTTTTGAAACAAATTGTACAAATAAAATATTTTATCCAGAATATCCAACAGCTTGTCCTTATTTGACATCCGTCGGTGCTACACAATTAATTGATATTGAATATAATAATAGTGAAAAACTACCACGTGCGTGTTCAGTAATCATACCTCCAGTTGGCAACAGAAATGCTACATTAGCTCACTGTATATCGAATGGAACTGAAGTAGCAGTTGATACTGGGTATACTGGTTATACAAGCGGCGGTGGATTTTCCAGCTACACTTCACAACCACTCTATCAAAAACGAGCTGTAAACAAATATTTCAAATTAATGAAATGTCAACCACCAACATCAATGTACAATCGACGTAATCGTGGCTTTCCGGATGTTTCTGCATTTGGTACTCATGGCTTTTTTGTATTCAATGGAACTTATCACACTTTTGGTGGTACAAGTATGTCAGCACCATTGTGGGCTGGTATTGTATCAATTTTAAATTCATATTCATTAAAACGAACAAACAAAACATTGGGCTTTCTTAATCCCTTACTGTACAAAATGTCAGAAGAGTGTCCCAAGTGTTTTAATGATATAACACTTGGTGATAGTAAATGTCCTGATAGTAGTTACTGTACAAGCAAATGTCAAGGTTTTCAAGCTGCACGTGGTTGGGATCCAGTAACGGGACTGGGTAGTCCAAATGTTGAACAAATGATAAAATATATTAATAGATTATTAAAGAAGAAGAACTACCTGTAACTGCCGAAGATATCTACTTTCAAAACATTTACTTTACTGGTGAAAGTGGCTTTTTATGAGGCTGAGGGGGTGAAGCATGCAAAAAAGAAAGATGTGAATGTTCATTTTCAGACAGCTACTTTAAGTTAAGTTTTTCCTAGAAACTGCTATGTTGAACTTGGAAACTAAACACCTTAGTACAGTTACAAAACTTAAAATTACTTGCTGTTAAAATAAACTCAAATAAGATTTGTTGTGAATATTTATGAATGGGAATCAATTTTATGTTAGAGCGAACGCTCTATATAAGAACTTAGCGACAAGAAGGGAACAGGGAAGGGTCGGTCACACCCTAGTAGAATCCGCGCTTCATTGCGCGTCTCGAAGCCATAGTAATCTATTGATTTCGCGACAAGAGCGCGATTGATTTCGCGAGAGAAGCGCAATTGATCTCGCGACAAAAAGTCGCGGTTGTGTCCGGAAAAAGTTCGCTACAGGGTCGCGATTGGGTTTGTGACAAGAGCGCGATTGATTTTGCTATCATACCATGACCATGTCCATGTTTTCGTCATGTATTAACTTAGTTTTAGAACCGAAATCAATAAACAGAAAATTTCATCAAAGGAAATCTGGATTCCTTACAGTAGCAAAGATGGTGTCAGGGACGATACCAACGGCTGCATGCAAACAGATTAAGGGCGACAAAATACACCTTCAAAACAAATTGAAAGGATTTCAGATCGGACCTTTTCCTCTGCAATTTATTTCATATCTTGAAACCTACAAGGGATCTTTTTCTAAAAAACGGTATACCAGCATTTGGGCCCAACGACAGTTGAAGTTCAGAGGCGCCCGTGGGGGTCTGTGTGAGGGTGAATATGAGTGTGAGTATCGATGAAGATTAAACAAATAGTGATTACAGTTGGATATGAGTAATATAGAAAAAGCTCTCACACCGTACCAAGTTTGTTTAAAGATAATTTTATCGATATGCATCATACTTTAACAAATGGACTCTTACTGAATGCTTTTGTCGTACATGCGCCCAAATGTCTGGTAATCCTAAAAAAAAGATTAGTATATAGTGCAACTTGTGTCCTTCAGATTTCGGCTAGCGACCGATAAAAGCTGCAAGTCTTTATCTTATATTTTCTTCGAGTTATTCCAAAACTAATGAGCGTGGAACGGATTGTACTGCGGTGACAGTTGATTCTGAAATGTGTCAGCACGATAATAAGAATTTCAAAAGAGAAATTAAGAGCATTCAGCATAAGTACACTCTACTCTATAGCACCAAAAATTGGCTACCTGTTTTTTGTATAACTTTAAAACTAAATGCGGCTCCTTTATTCGGATAATTTATGAAAACGACTGGTGTATTTGATTTATAGATTTAGATTTACGTGACGATGCACGATTTTGGATACAAAATGTTAATCAACAAGCAACTTGCTGGGGATCATATTCGAAAAAACTAAAAATATATATGAGTGATTCTGATAAAAATAGTACCGTTCGAATGAAGTAAATGATCCCAAGCGTTTCTTTTCTTAGCCTTGATGAATCACTTTCGGACTTCTTGCATATATTCAATAACGTTAGGCTTATAGTCGCTGCAAGTACGACTTTTCTATGTTTAACCGTGAAATTATAAGAAACTTATTAGTTTTTGAATAACTCGAAGGAAATATAAGATAAAGACTTGCGGCTTTTATCGGTCGCTAGCCGAAATCTGAAGTACCGACTATGCTGAATCTCGTGGCAATATCTGTTTTTCTAAACAGTTTCAAAAACTTAGTGAAAACGTACATTAGGTGAAATATCCCATTTCTGCCTATTTTTAAGTAAAATTCAAAATTCATAACTCAGTCAAGATCAATCCAAGTTATGTCACAATATCAAGATGTACCCTATTTTACCTGCTCCAAACGATTTTTTACTTGAGAATAGTAAAAACATTCTTGTACTTCGGAAGAGTTCTAGAAAATCCTTTCAAAAACCAGAGTATTTTCTGTCGACTTTTAACGCTTCTGTTAAACTGCATAGTATTGAGCAAGTAAAATAGAGTACATCTTGATATTCTGACATAACTTGGATTGATCTTGACTGAGTTATGAATTTTTGAATTTTACTCAAAAATAGGCAGAAATAGGATATTTCACCTAATGTACGTTTTCACTAAGTTTTTGAAACTGTTTAGAAAAACATATATTGCCACGAAACTTAGCATGTTCGATTACCCATAGCGCATACGTCTTTAAGGCTACCAATAGTCACTTGGTGCCAGTGCTGGTACTCGTAGGAAATGTGATACAACGCCCGAACCGCGGGAAATCAAGGTCTCACTTTACCCCCATTTTGAAGAGGACATCCCAGGCTATCGGTCCATGAGAAAAAGCAATACAATCCCATTGGAAAATGTTCACAAACGGCATAGTTTTCCAAAGATCTCTTAGAAAACCTGTTTCAGAAAACTGTTATGAAAACAATTTTGGTTATGGAAATATGCCCCCAAGTTTCCTCTTTCCACTGGTGAAAATCGGAGCTCTCTAGCTCTTTTCTATCAAAAGATATTCAAAACACAACCAAATGCACGGTGTTTTGACGCCGATAATAGAAAAATGTTTCTCAAATCTGGAAAACAAAGTAGTGGTAGTTTGCTAACTCGTGTTTCGTGATACTCCTAGGTACACACTATCGATAGATGATAAGAAAAAACCTAGGTGTTTACCTTTTGTTTCAGTCAAATTTTCTCACAAAAACGGTACTATTTTTATCAGAATCACTCATACTTATATTTTATGTCTTGGCGAATAGCTTCACTTAATAGATTATTTCATGCAAGAAATGCTTTTGCGTTATTTTAATCAATATACTAAAACAGAAGTTTTATTTAAAAAGGATGAGCTTATAGTTGATGGAAAAACTCTGAAATGGTTTTGTAAGGTCGACTACAACGATCATTGCCTATGAAAGATTTTGTTGATGGGCGCTGCTGTCTGTGTTTATTTCGTCAAATTCTCTGTAAACTAGCTGTGTAGCGTGGCTGAGTAATTTGCAAATAGTTTATGGTTTAGGCGAGTTTCAATAAAACTGATAAAAACTTCCATTTTCATCATAGTTTAAGAAAAAAACAACTAGCACATTCAAAAGATGCAACTCAAACATAGCTGATATCAGCGTCATGATAGGATTTCACGAATAATAGCAACTAACTGATTTATTATTGAATCACCCCGTTGAAAATTAGATATTCTTACAATTAGACATAGTTCAAATCAAGTTTTGATAACTAAATTTATATTAAGTTAGAAAGCATACTTCAAATTAATTGGCGTAGAAATTGTTTCGACTTTTCAGACTAGTCCACTCAATCGGGATTAAAAGAATTTGCATATATGAAATAATTTTTAATTTAGTAGCTGCCAAATTAATCAAAATTTATGTCGATTTTTCTTTATTTTAAATTTAACTGAAACTCAAAATTTCCAGTTAGTTGGAACTAATTTTGAATAGTAAAAAGCTGTTTAATTTAAAAGTTCTAATGTTAATCTGGTGTTTTATTTCGGAGTCCTCATTGTTACATATTTCTGAGAACAATGTGTGTGTGGGTAGGGAGGAACGCGAATCAGACGCTGTATACTGTTTCGTTCTACACTACCTGCAAAAATATCTCATATTCACTTTTTCCGTTAGCTTGAAGTACACTACAATGATCTATTTTTTGGAAAAGGATCACTTACAGGTTTTAATATAATGCCTGACAATATTGCTCATTAAATCCATAAAATCTATGATTTTCAGCTTTTTTCCAGAGTTTTAAATGACGGGTATAACCTTCCTAATTATTCTGTGAGCTGTCATAGTTAGAGAGGACCCAGGCCCAAATTCTACTCCTTGGCGGGATGTGAAGATGAAATGAAATAGGTATATTTTGATAAACTTTTATTAAATAAATGTAGTTTAAACCAACTTTTGGTAGCTTGAGATTGCTTACGTCTATAAATTGTATTGTATGGAAAGCAGAAGGTTCTGCCAGTCATTTAAAACTACAGAAAAAAGCTGAAAACCATACATTCTCGATGGGCCCAATTTGCTATGATAATCTTCGTTTAATAAAAAACAATTTCGTAACACCAAACGATGCTGGCTAAATATGCAAATTAAATAAGTCTAGCACAGGAAAGTAGTAATTAGATCGATATTCAAATTAAATGTGCCAGTGTTTATATTTTTAATCTTGATCTCAAACATCTATAATATCTTCAGCTTCACCTGATTATCTTTTTTTCCTAATTATGTAATTATGTCAGAAATTGACCAGCAAAAGTCAAACGATTTCAGTATTCACACGTTTATGTTTAACACCTTTACACATGTCTACGCTCGACCGCTATTATACGAATAGTGTCCATTAAAGAAAAACTGTTTATGAAAATGAAGAAATCTTTGGCATATGCTAGTTGTTTTTATCATGATAGGATAAAAATGCAACTTTTTATCAGTTTTATTGAAATTCGCCTATAACCACTTCAGAGTTTCTTCCATCAATTATAAACTTATGCTTGTTGTAACTAAAACTTCCATTTTAGTACTCTAATAAAGATAATGCAAAAGCATTTCTTGCATGAAATACTTTATTTATTTAAGTAAAACTATCTCGTACACGAAAATCAATAGGAAAAACCGGTCGAAAATAGGTATCACACCAGTTCATCTTCAAGCGGAAAAACCGGTCAAAACCGACGGTTTGCGATACAATAACCGATTTCTCGTATAAAAACCGTGGGTGTGTTTTTCGATATTATTTTTGCATCGCTGGCGTATGGCAGTAGTTCACGACGGTTATATTTTGGTGAAAACCGCTAAGATCTAGGTGTGTGCTAAATTGGCTAGCCCTTTTTGATTTACCCGCAGATGAAGCCGGTTGTTTTTTATGGCTGATTTATCTAATGGATAAATGGCGGTTGCAATAAAACCTTTAATAATATTGACTTTATTAATCGCTGTTGATTGAAATAATTTTAATAAGAGTATATATTCAGCTAAAATCTCATGATATTTGTGTTTTATTGATTTAAAAAATGTAATGTCACGAGGTTGGAAAATGTAAGTTGAATGTGGTAGAATGCATAACCAAACACTACCATTGCTAATAGCTAATTCAATTGTACGTACACGACGATGGGAAGTATGTCCATCCAGTATTAACAAAATTGGTTTTGATGTTGTTAAGGTTAGTGAAAGAAACATGTTCTTAAACCGGTCATAAAATACATTCTCTTCCGTTCAACCATTGGCACTCGTAATATAATCGGCGCCAGTGAGGCCGAAATGAAATGAAAAATTAGAGCGTCTGCTATAATTTCATGAATTAACAAACTTCTAGAATTACATTCAAAATAGCTGACAAAGAATCAAGTAATTGTCATATTCACATGAATATTTTGTAGAGTCAAACAATCAAACATGTTCTTCAATGATGTTTAAATAAAGTTTTTTCAATTCACTTCATTCTTTGCTAAAAGTGATCGGAACTTCATGACGACATCTTCAGGTCATCGAATCAAATGCTACATAATTCGAGTAAAAATTTATGTCTTAAAATTTTTCTTTTACTCAAGAGATAGAAGAGTATCTGGGGAATATGAAAAGCTGAACACGTTATTAATTACTCAGTTATTACAGGTACCACGTTAATTGGGCTGTCAAAAATCAGGTACAAAAATGTGCTAAAATTCAGCAAAACTCATCAGACGGCTATAAATCGCTAGAACCAAGCGATCTTGTTCCAGTTTTCGCTTCATATAATAAAGAACAATCTCGTCTATAACTTTTCTATTTGTCATTGATGTAAAAGCGGCCTCTGTGAGTCGGTAGAATTTAAGCTCTGACTTTTGCGCGCAAATTACACAGACTGACCATAATTACCCCATGAAAAATAGCTGAGTAACCATAATTATCCCAGGTGACTCTTTTTTGAAAAACACACATTCTTGTATAGATGATACGATTGATGAACAAAGTATGAATTCTAATGATTTCTTCGATGAATTTGCTATCTCGAATCTTCTATAACATGGTTTATTAATATTAACATGCTGTTGAACGTACTGCTTGTAATACGAGTTGCAGTTTCTGGAATAAGCACCTACAAGTACAAAGATGAAAAATGTTCACTGGAATCAAATCTTTATCATTTTATAGATTATAAACCCTGACTCTTTATCTGACTTCGTCAACTAACTTTTTTGTATAAAGCTATTATGGACTTTATGAAAGCAATAAGTAGAATCTATATCATACATGTTTTTCGTCTTTTTACTATGTTAAATATCCTAATTTACTTAAACAAGTAGCATAAAAAGTGAATGCAATGGGTAACCAAATAAATCTTATTCATGAAAAAGTTACACATAGCAGAACAAAATAAAATGTAAGTTAAGTTACAGCTTTCTTATTTTAGTTTAGTTAATGCTTTATAGAAACTGAAGCATATACTGTACAGTGAAAAAAGAAGTTATGTTGAACTATTTATTTTTAGAATGACATACATGTTGATTTATACCGATCAGATTATACCTAATGCTGTTGTAAGTTACATTACTTTAAATGCAACCTTATACTTGTTTGAACTGGTACTCATTTTGTTTTTTTTACGCTCATTATAGATGTATAATGATGAGAATTTACTTGATACTTCTGCATCAAGTAGTAAAGATTTTGCAAGATAAGCTTTAAGTAAATTATATACACGTGATGAATTAGCTAATTCTGTATTACCATCAGGAAGAACATATTATTCACGTTTACCATTAGATCCAGAAAGATTTAAACTTTTCCATCGTGAGTTGTTTTTCAATGTTTAATGAAAATTTTTTAGTATTCAACCGACTAAAGTCGTCAATCACTAGCTTTTTCTTTTTGAAAGTGCTTTTATCCAAATAAATATCATATTGGTAATGTACACCGAAAACTTGATCGAATCGAGTTGAAACTCAAAACATTTGGCGAAAACAATTTTTTTCAAAACTTCGATAAGGGTCAAAACTGAAAAAATTCACGCACTTAAAAAGCACTCGCCTGTCCAGACTTTCCAAAACAAAATATCAAACAAGAGTTCGTTATTCTGAGGAAAACTAAATTCTTTTTGGTGAAGTGCTGCAATAGGAAACTTATACCAAATCGAAGTAGGTTAAAATGCATTTTGCATACGCTGTATAAAGTTTACTGTTCAACAACGCGAAGCAATAAAATGTCCATTTGGTTGTAATTGTGAAGAGAAACTACGTTTTATGTTTATTTATACAAAACTTTCGTGACTAAAGATTAAGGAGATGTTACTGTCTTTACGAGTAAACATATTCGAAGTTTTATAAGTGTCAGTTTTCAACTATCATATCAACAGACCCTTTGAAAGCCAACAGTGCAAAAGTGCTTAGTTCTTGCTGAATGCTTGGCATGAGAAGCTCATTCTTCCAAGAGTGATAAAGAGGGCTGCTGTGTCGATATGAAAAATTAGCTTGTAAACAAATATCTCCTTCAAAGTCTTTGAATAAAATTCTATGCATATCTCTCTCACAAGTTACTATGTCTTCAATAAATCAAAACATGTCTAAAGGAAAGTAGGATTCGTTTTCTGAAAACTGTCGATAAATGGTCATCTGAGTGTAGTATTCATTTAACTTATTGTTTACTTTTTTGTCGTGTTTTTGGACAGGATAGTCATGGTACCAAAATAACTTAGACTACTTGACTCTTGCTGCTCTTATTTTCGTTATTGGCGAATTTACTAATTATGCTAGTTTCATTGCTTTCAAACGGTCGACTTCGCGCAAATTCGGCATTGGCAATTACTTTCTTAACGTTTCATTGTTCGATCAATTTTCTCTCTTTGCGTTTCTTCTCAAAATGCTTGACATTTTCTTTTTCTCATTATTGAGTGATATTTCATGCAAAGTCGTTTCGTTCAAGCTTTTTGTATCAACTCAGCACACGTACTGATTGATTAGTTGGATTACTCTCAAACGTGTCTGCTTCGTAGTCTTTTCTCTTAGTAGTTATCTGAAAGTATACTCGATTATCCATTGTGATGAGTTTTATAATACTGATCGTCAATATGTTCCTGAAATTATCTTCTACAAGACTACCGACGATCCCGGTGGACAACTGAATATGCTTTTTCTCAAAAAGTAGCAACATACACCTATGTTAATGTACTTGCTCATCATCTTGTTTCATTCTTCATTCAAATCGTGTCTACTGCCACAAAAGTAAACCACCACAAAGATGACCCGCCAGAAAGCAATTTTATTTATAATCATCCTTCATCATTCACACGTACAAACATAAAAATAACCAAAACAACCACCATGAGAATAACCATGATAATTAGAATAATAAAAACCAGGATGATTATGACCATGATAACCTACATGAGTAGAATTAAAATGAGAATTGCAACATGTCGCAGCATGACGACGCTTCCAACCATAATACCAAAAATGATCGCGATAATGCTTCCAGTCAGCATCAGACCAATTCTCCCAATTACGTATCTTATTCCAACGGATCAGAGAACCATTATAAAACCAATCACCACATTTGGAACAAGCACGACCGGAACAATCAAGTTTGTTCTGAGAAAATGAAGTTGGGTATCGGTTCTCTAAACGAAAGGTTGATTCTTTTATCATAATTTGGAAAAAAGAAGCGCATTTGCTACTCTTTTCAGTTATTGGAGGCGCGAAACTATTAAAAGCGTACGCAACAATGCACGTGTGATAGTCGTAAAAATCTGTTTGAAGAATAAGTTCTGGTCCATCTAATTGGAAGTGAAAGAGAAAAAAAAACGCTGTTGTCAAATCTGTTCGGATATTTAGAGAAAACTGAAAAAAATAAGCGACACAACTCACAACTTTGTGAGGGAAACAGTTTGAGATGTATGAATCAGTCGGTCCTGAGAGTTGAAGCAAAGAAAAGTGACCATGATTTCCTCATTTGCCGTTCTTATCTGTGCATAGTGCAACGCTTTAAAGTAATACAAGAATCCTGAGGTTTTGCGGTCAAGTGATCGCCGACTGACACAGTTATGAGGTTGTGCGAAAGTGTGAGACAGTCCCATTGACCATTTGCTTGGTATGGGATGGGATACACGGAAATTGTCGGGCCACTCCGAGTATTTGAACATAAAAAGTTCGTGAAGATTTTCACTTTTTTTAAATGGATTGCACTCTGTGTTGACTTTTATCAGATGCTACTGAAGACAAGATAGCTTCGTTATTCGAAAACTCAAAGTCTGATAATAAAATTGGCTAGGTTTAGATACGAAATCTGCCAAAAAAGCACAAGTGTGGCATAATGTACTCAGAGAAAACAGAGCAATCGACAACAGAGCCCATCACAACCCAGCGCAAAACATATGTGCTGATGGACAAACTACGTTACTATTAGGACACTCTTCGTTTATATGTTCGTTGAATTTGCCCCTCTCCAATCCGGCTTGACCACAAACTTTGCATTTGACTGGAAGCTCATCGAGGATATCGGGCAAAGGGCCGTCGGTGATGGAGATCAAATCTTTAGTAGACAGCTGTTGACCGCACGACTTCTTCCGACATGTCGGATTATCTTGGAGCTTCTCCTGGATACAATGGCGGCAAAATGTGTGTTTTTTAGGTTCGCATTGAGTCAGCACCGGGTCAATAAAAGGGCTTTTGCAAATCGTGCATTTCAAGCTTTTGGGTATTGACTTCACATTCATATACTCGTATCTGAGTTCAGTTGCCATCTGGTTTACTCCAGCTATTATCTAGAAAGAGTGTTGTTGAAAAGTGTGTGATTTTTCTGTTACAAAACCTTTTAAGGCAATACCTGTGCGATTGAAATGTAAAATTTTATCGAAGCCTTCTTTAAGATATTTCCACTCTGCAATGCTGGATCATATGAAATGACGTCTGCAGTTACACTTCTAGTCAAAATGGGTAAAGATCCCTGCATTTTGCCTCATACGCCACAGACATTCGAATGACTCGAAATTGTCGGCATACACTACACTCTTTCTCCTTCGATCTATGTGAGCAGATACTGACAAATATGAAAGCATTGGCACCCGATTTTTTAACAATGACTAAAGTTGATCTCAGTTTCAAGCAAGGAGTTATACGCTGAATTTGAATTTGATTTTGAAGATTTACCTTTTTCTAAGTACTTTGCACAAAAACGTCTCCGTCGTCAAATGAAAATCCAAAGGG